AAAGTATATTTCAAGGCTCTTGAATTATCCATCTTTGTCTGTAATTGTTTTAAATTGTTTAAATTGCTGATATATTTCACAATTGGGCTTTACTATTCTAATTAACTATATTTTTACTGGACTTTTAAATTCTATTTCATCATATTGTTTTTTTATTATATTTGCTTTTATTTTATTATAATAAATGTTATTTATATTATTATTTTTATTTTATTTTTTACTTTTAGCCTATTCATTTTTATTATGGATTACTTTTTATAGAGTATGCTCGATATTATCAAAAAATAATAATTGGACTTTATTATTTTCTATATTTATTTAATATTATGGTGTTTTTTACCTTTAGTATCAATTTCTTGTTCCATTTTATTTTTTTATTTATTGAGACAATAATTTATATTTTTATTTATGCTTTGATTTATTATTATTTTAGATTTTTTTTTTTTTCTTTAACTTAAAAAAAAGAAAAAAAAAGTATAAAATGATTATATATATATATTTTTTTAAATATAAAATTTTATTTTAAAAAAAAGTTAAATATACATCCATAAACGCATAAAATAATTAGTTCTAAAAATTTTAAATAATATAAAAATATAGTTAGAAAATTATTTTAATATAAATATAAAAATTTTCCTTGGAAAATTATTTGCTTTATTATTATTATTTGTTAATAACTAATTTATTGTATTATTATTTTGATAGACATTTGTTTTAATTTTAAAATTTTAAAATTTTTTGATATAAGTAGCCAATATATTATCTTATTTTGCTTTTATTAATATTTTTTTTAAATATTTAAAATTAAAATAAAACATAATATTTATATTTTAAATTCATAAATTTTTAAATGTTTGATTTTTCTATGAAAAAACATTGCTATACTTTTAATTAAAAATATTTCTAATTATTATTCTATATTTTAAATAATTTTTTAGCTAAATTTATTATAAAAATTAATATTATCACTAAATAAAAATATGATTTTATATTTTAATGTTATTTGAATATAAGTAATTATAAAACATAAATTATTTAATTTAATTTTAAATTAAATTTATTAGAATTTGTAATTATATTTAATAAAAATTAAATATAATTTAATTTAATCTAATTATTAATTTTTTAACTAAATATGAGCTTTTTACAGTTTATATTAATAATATAAAATAATTTAAATTTTATAATTAAGTTATATTAAATTTATTTTAAATATTTTTTATAATTTTTTCAAAAATTAAAAATTATTTTTAATCACTATCTAATAAAAATATGAAAATTAAAAGTTAGCAAAAATAAAAATTACAAAAAATAAACTAAATATCAAAAAAAAATAAAAAGGAAAAATAATTAAAATATTTTCATAAATGTTTAATGCGATTTGTAAAAATAACTAGAATCTTTTAAATTAATAAGAAAATAACAATTATTAAAATATGAAATTATAACCTAATTAATAGATATATATAAAGCAATATTTATAAAATAAATAAAGTGCCATTCCAGTATAAATTATTTCTAATTAAAAAAATATTAGAAATTAAAATAACTTTTAATCTCTCTATTAATTATAAAATTAACAAAAGTAAACTTTAATAAAATAATAAGCAAGCTAAAATTTTAACGGATAATAATAAAATTAAAATAATTAATATAATTTATATTCTTTTCAAAATATAAAAAATTAGGAAATTAATTAATATAAAGCTTTAAATATTAATTATTAACAAAATAATTAAAATAATAAAAACATATTTAAATTAACCAATATAGAAGAAAATTAATTTGCTAATATTAATAAAATAAATTAATAATATATTATAAATGATAAATAAATAAGTTTATAATAAGAATATTACAAATTTAATTAAATTTAACAAAATCCATAAACAATTAATAATTTAAAAACTCATCATTAAAGATCAATATCAACAAACGAATTATAATGCAGAAATTATTCACCAACTAAAAAAGTACAATTTAATATTTAGAAAAACACATATACAAATATAGAATAAATTGATAAAAATATATAAAATAAATAAACTTAAAGTACACATAAAAGGTATTATTCAGCTAATAAATTAATGATTCCAAATATATATAATAATTCAAATATTCCAGTTAAATCAAGCTTAAAGCAATCATAATATTTATAAAATTCTTAAAACTTATAAAATATTAATAATATATAGGAATAATCTAATGTAAATGAGAATAATAATGTGTTCATAACATTTAATAATAATAGTTTAGATTAATCTTCTAGTCAATAACAAGATTAATCTGTTTGTAAAAAAATTTATTATCAAAACGGTTATTATTATGAAGGATAAGTTGTAAATGATATAAGAAATGGATTTGGTAAACTTTATAATTAAAAAAATAACGAAATATATATAGGTGAATGGGAAAATGATGAATTTAATGGATAAGGATATTTATATAATACTTAATAATTATTATAAACTAAAAATAATTTTAATTATAAAGAAATTGATTTAGCTATCTAAATTAATTGGTAATATTATAATGGGTAATTCAAAAACGGACTAAAGGATGGATATGGTACAGTTTATTTATGTAATGGCGAAAAGTATATTGGATTTTTCAAAAATGGATTATTAATAAAATAAAAATGAATTCTTATAATATAAATAATGATCTTAAAATATTAAAAAAATAAAAATAAAATTCTAGAAAAAATTTGAATTAATAAATTTTAAAAAAATAATAGTTTATGTATATTATTTTATAATATTCATATATTGTATTTTTAAAAGATTTATTTAAAATATTATTTATTTAAATAATATTTATTTTTATTTTCAAATAAACTTAATTTAATTTAAAAACTTAAGTAAAAATAAAATTAAATAGATTATAATATTTTATATAAAAAAATATGATATAAAATTACGAAATTATTAATAATATATATCAGATTATATAATTTATAATATAGATTTATAAAATATAACACACTTAAAAATAATGTAGATATAATTAAATATGAAAAATAGTTGATTTTTATTTAAATTTAAAAATAAATAGATAATATATAATTTAAAAATAAATAGAAAATATAATAAAAATTAATTTACATGTATAAAATAAAAATAAAAATTGTAAAATAAAATAAGTTAAGATATTTATAATTGAAAAATATTTATTAGTTAAAAATAGATTTAATAAAAAATAATAAAAATAAAGAAATAAAAAAAATTAATAAATATATAAAAAAAAATTATATATAATTTAATATATTTAAAAAATATATATAGGATATAATGAGAAAATATTATGAAAATAAATAAAAAAAAAAAAATTTTAAAATATTAAATAATTATAAAATAAAATAGTAAATAATAAAATAAATAATATAAATAAAAAATTTATATATATATGATTATATAAATAATATAAAAATATCATTATATATCCATATATATATTTATATATATAATTGTATTCATTTTTATTTTTTAGTTGTCTCTTTAATAATACTTTATTTTCTTCATATATTATATAATAAATTTTTGTTTTTCATTTAAATATAAATATATCTTCTTTAAATATTTTTATCAATTTTTTTCAATATTAAAATTTTTTGGTTATCTTTATATAATTTTTTTTGTTTTTAAATTTTAATTATACTATATCACTAATTATATATTTTTTTTTTGTGTATATTCATTTTTTAATTTTTATTTAAACATTGTCTTTTTATGGTAATGATTATAATTAATTTTTTATCATCTTCTATATTCTTATTTTTAAAATACTCATATAAAATTTATGATTTTTTATATAAATAATCAATTATAATAGTTCAAAAATAATAAATTTTATATAATATTTTATTATGAAAATATTCTAATCTATGTTTTAAATATATTTTTTTTATTTTTAATGGAATAAAATTAACATAACTGTAAACAAAAGTATTATATTTATAAATTTATAAGTAATATAATCTTATTTAATCTAAAATAAATGAAAAATAATAAATTTATAAGAATTAGAAATTAATTAAAATATAGATATAAATGATAAAAGAAAATATTTAGATAGAAACTAATAAATTTATCTGAAAAATTCGCATTAAAATAATATTTATTTATAGTTTTAAAATTTTCTTTTTTAATTTTGTTTTAAATTTTTAATGGAAACAACTTGATTAATAATTTGTTCAAAAATAATAAATCAAAATATTTATAAATCGAACATATTTATTTTTTATATAAAAAGTTAATTGAAAGTATAAAAAATTAATTAATGTTTTTAAAAATAAAAAAACTAATTTAGCACAAACATATATTTAAATAATTTGCTATTTACTCAAGGAAATTAATATAATAACTTGTTGTATATTTTTAGTAAATAAAAAAATTTGCAAAAAAAATTGTTTAAAATTTTATTTAATATAATTTTAATTACTTTAAAAGTTATAAAATTATAACATAAAAGATTTTTTTAAGAAATTATTTAGAGAAAGGTTAATCACTTTTTATTATAATTTAGAAGATACATTGAACGATATTTAATATTAAAAGTAAAATTAAGATTTGGTAAAAAATATTTCAAATATCTAATTTAAATTCTATATAGTATTCTTATGTATACTTAATTAATAGATTAATATAAATATATTAATGATATTAATATTAATAGTATTAATTAATATCTTCTAGAAGATATAATAATATAATTTTTTTATTGAATTAAAAGTATTAATTAACTTTATTAATTATTTTATTAAACAAAAAAATATTATGACTAAAAATTAAATAATCTTATTTAATATATCTTTTATTTTATTTAATTTAAATAAAAAAAAAGAATGGATTTTAATACATTTAGTTTTATTAGCTTTAATAATATATATGTTAATATATCTTTAGTATTAATAGCTGTAATATTACTAAAATAATACATAAATGGAGGTGTATGTAGAATAAAAAAAGATTTAGCAGGCTAAATAGTAATAATAACAGGTTCAAATACAGGAATAGGTTTAGAAACAGCAAAAGCACTAGCCAAATAAGGAGCGAAAATAATACTAGCTTGTAGAGACGAAAATAGAGGGAAAAACGCAGAATTGTTGGTCAATTAAATAAGAGAGAAATCCGCTCATTTTATGAAATTAGATCTTTCTGATTTATCATAAATTCGATTATTTGTAAATGAATTTAAATAAAAATATGATAGATTAGATGTTTTATTAAATAACGCAGGACTAATGAGCCCTTCGGAAAGACTTTTAACAAAAGACGGTTTTGAAATTTAATTTGGAACAAATCATTTAGGTCATTTTCTTTTGACAAATTTGCTTTTAGATTTACTTAAAAAGACTTAAAATTCTAGAGTTGTTAATGTTTCCTCAATGGCTCATTTCAATAAATTTCCCTGTTATTCTAAAATACACTTGGATGATTATAATTTTGAGAAAAAATATTGTATGTATTAAACTTATGGTTAGAGTAAATTAGCTAATGTTCTTTTTACAAAATAATTGTAAAGAATTTTTGATAAAGAAAATTTAAAAATAAAAGCTGTTTGTTTACATCCAGGTGTTGTTAGAACTGAATTATTTAGGTATTATAATAAAGGTTATATGAATTATATTAATTCTCTAGTTTATCCTTTAATAAATTTCTTTTTAAAAGTCCTTTATAAGGCGCTTAAACTAATATTTATTGTTCTATTGAGGATTTTGATAAATTATAAGCAGGTGAGTATTATTCTGACTGTAAAGTTAAAAAAAGTTCTAAAGAAAGCTACGATGAAAATATTGCTTAGAAATTATGGGATTTATCTTTTAAGTTGGTTAAACTTTGAAATATTTTATATTATTTGAAAATTATAGTTTTAAGTTTTATTTTTTTTAGGTATAAGTAATAAAAATATGCAGTAAATTTTATATTTATATTAATAATATCAATTTTTTTTTGATTTATTAATTAAAGAATAAGTCTAAATATAAGTTTAATATATTTAAATATATAAAAATTATAAATATTTAGAAATAATATATTTCGGAATTAGTTTAAAACAATAATAAATAATATTATAAATATATAATATTTTACTTTAATATATTAATTTTTTTTAGTTTTATTAATATATATATTTTTTTTATATATATGTGTATTTTTGTAGATATTTACATAATTTTTTATAGTACAAAAATTTTCAATAACAAATTATTTTAATTTAATATTGCTTGAATTATTTTAAAAAACAATATAAATTATAAATATATTTAATACAAATTAAATTTTTTTTATTATTAAAGAATCACTCACCTAGACGCAAAGTACTTTTAGATATATATATCTATTAAAATTAATGAATTATTTAACTTCATTTTGGCTTTTGAATCTATTAATGTAATCAATCATTTAATCTAACTTAGCAAGATAAACATGTTAATATATTATAAAAGTTCATAGAATAAGAAATCATCTGTCGATAATATTTGAACTAAGAAGTCTTTATTTCTTAAATATTAACTAATTTTTTTTAATCTTAAATCAAATTTTTCATTCTAATAAGTTTCTTTAACTTCATTATTGTATTAAACTATGGAAGGAATCAAAATTATTTGGTGTGATTTTTTAAATCACCCAAATACTTATAAAATTTTGATTTTTCTTTCATTTAAACATATATTATAATTTTATTCTATAAGTTCTAATCTGATACTTTTTTTAATTATATAATAAGTAATAGAATTAAATTCTGTTAATTTTAAATCTCTATCAATTAAATATGGGAGATTAGCAAAATTTAAAACAAATGTTTATTTATTTTAAGAAATCTTAGGTATATTAAATAGAGTTTTTAAGTAATCTAAAATAGTACCAATTAGTTTATTAGCAACTCTTATTTGTCAATATCAAAGTCAATTTTTTTATTTTTAATAATTTTTTTTTTTTAAAAAAAAAAATTTTTAGTTTTATGTAGAAAATATAAGGAAAATCTGATTGGATTATTATATTTTATATTTCTTTAATATATTAATTATATAAAATACTTTTAAATAGATAATAATTAAAAATATCTTTTTTTCACTTAAATTAATAATAATTAAGTATAAAAATATTTAAATTAAAATAGAATAGTAAAAAAAAAGATTTTTCTTTTTAAATTCTAGAATTTGTTAATTTTAAATATAATAAAATCATATATTAAAGTTATATAAAATAAAATAAATTTATACTCCTTTTAATTTTTTAAAAACTTCTATATATATTTTTTTTATTATTATTATTTTGCTTTATACCTAAATACGTATTATTTAAACAATAGTAAATAAAAAAAAATAGAAAAAAAACGAAATTAATTATTAAAATGTTAGTTAAAAAATACATATAATTTTTAGATAATATAATATTTAATTTAAGAAAGCTTATTTTATATAGTAAAAAAATAAATTATTAAATAAAATTTTTAAAATATTATTTTAATATATAATTATATATTATATAGCTAATCATTTTTTTAAAATATATACAATATTATTTTAATTATTGTCAATTAATTTTTAATAAATAATCACTCCAATAATATTAGGATATAAATTAAAATATTTAAATTTAATTATTCTTTTTATCGAATAATTGATAGAATAAATTATTTTTAAATTAAATATAACTTAAATATTATTCTAGGAAAATTTATTTTTAAAAAATATATTTTTTTTATTTATAAAAAATATGATTATAAATAAATAAAAATTTATTAAATTTAAAAATATATAAATAAAAAAATATAAATCGAATCTTTTTATTTTTTTAATTATTAAAATTAATATATTAATCTTTTTCATTTAATAATAATAAATATTTTTATTTAATATTATTTAATATATATTTATATATTTATATATTTATATATTTATATATATATTTTTTTTTCTTTCTGAAAACTTTATTATTATAGCTTTTTTTTTTTTATAAAAGAATTAAATAATAAATATTCAATAAAATGACTATATACTATATCCTAATATTATTATTATATAATTTAATATTACATATAAATTAAAAAAAAATATATTCTATTTTACATTATTTAAGAAATTTTGTTATTAAACTAGTAATTAAATACTATTTAAGTTTTGACTAAGAATCCTTTGTTTTTCTTAAATATTTTGTATATTATATAAATATTATCTTAGTGATTTTTTTTCATTAAAATAAGCTTTCTTTAACTATATTAAAATTAGGTCTCCTAATGAATTTTATAAACATATATATAATTATAAAATTTTGATTTATTTTTGAATGAAAGATCAGATTAAACAGTGTTTATCCTATAAAATCTATATATGTTCCACTTATTTTAATTTTATAATGAGTAATTGCAGGAATATAAATTCAGAATCACCATCAACTAAATAAAGGAGATTCAGAAAACCTAAACCCAAAGATTTTTAATCTTAAACATTTTACATTGTATATAATTTTCTAAATGATTAATTAATAAATAGAATTTTTATTGTTATAAGAGTATTTTTGTTAACATTTTTAATCAATGCATTATTTTGTTTTTATACTTTTTTGATTATATAACCAAAATTTGAAATTCGAAGCAGAATATCAAAAATAATATTTTTTTTATGAAAAAGTATATAATTTAAAATATAATCAACGTATATTTTATTGTATTTTTTTTTATATTTTTTGTATAAAAAATGAACTTTATAGTTAAAATAATAGAAAATTAACGATTATTTATTTGTTGCTTTTAAATTTTAGAGGATTGAAATATATTCTAATTAAAAACTTTATTAAAATATATTTATAACATTAAATTTAAAAAATATAAGTAATTTATTTTTGATAAAATATTTTTGTATTCATTTATATTAAATTTATTTTATAATATTATAATTAGAAAATTTTAAAACATAGATAATAAACATCATCACTTCCAAAATTATTTTATAAAATAAAGAGTTAATCTTTAATTAAATGTATTATTATTATTTTATCCTAAAAAATGTATTCTTGATATATATATTAGTCTAATTATAGTTTTTTTTTTTAAAAAAAAAAATATAATATTTTAGTATATTAAAATTGAAGAAAATTATTTAAAGTTTATAAAAGAAAGTTTATAAAAATATTAAAAAAGTCATTTTTAAAATAAAAAATTTATTAATTAATTCTTTTTTTTAAATTAAATATTATAAATCAAATTATTGATTTCTTTTTAAACTTTTAATTATTCAAATTAGCATTTTAAATTATTTAATTATATTTAACAATTTTTTTCTTTTATTTCTCAATATTAATTTCGTATACTAAAGGTGTAACTTAAATTTATTTAATTAATCCTGACCAAAACCCTTCAATTAAATCAAGAGTATTATTATTATTATTATTTTAATTATCCTAAGAGTTATTTTCGCAAAATAATTTAAACTAAACATAATTTTCCTATAAAAACTAAAGACTTTATACCCAAGATTCAATGTCTTTAATTTTCTAATCAATATTAGTAATTTTTATATAAATTTAATCATTAAATTATGATGATTTAATTTAAAAAATACATTCATAATAATTTTTTAAATTAACCAAAACATAAGAAATATTAGAAATAATTAAAGTATTAAAAAAAGGTTCAAAAACAAAAGTTAAGTCCTTCACATTATCTATAGTTTCATTCATTTTTTTTTATATTTATAAAATTTATTCCGCTTTATCATGAATTTCAATCATCTTTTCTTTAAAATGATTTAAACCTAAATCAATTAATGTTTTTAAAGACATATCGTCATCAGGTTCTATTTCTTATAAACAACATTCATTTAATAATATTTTTATATACTAAGGTCTTTTTTAAAATGCTTCACTTGTTAAATATTATATCATCTAAGAATGTTCCTTTTTTGTTATTTATTTTAATTTATTTTTATATATTGTTACTTTTTGTTTATTAAGTTCTTTTTATATATCTTCAAGCACTTTTTTTGCATTTTTGCTATCTTAAGCTTCTAATTATTACTAGATATTATCTTTATTTGTCTAATAATATTATAGTCTTTCTGTAAAATTTTAATAGTTTACTTTTAATAAAGGACCTATCATCCATTTACAAATATCTATTTATAATTCATATGCTATTTCCCACATATTTACATAAGGTTAAGCTTTTATATTAATTTCTATTAACAATTCATAAGAAGTAGGTTTTAAATTTAATAAGATTTCTCTTTTATTGAAATTATTTACCTAATAAATTGCATCTTTTATATGTTCACTTAAAGATTAAGTGTCTAAATTAATATCTTTAGCCATTTAGAAATTATTAAGGCTTTATATAAATAATAAATCTTGATTCAATTTTCTTATTTTTTACTATATGATATTTTTTTCTTTATCTAAATTATCCTTTATTTATTTTTCTTTTTAATCTATTATTTAAATACAAGATTATATTGATGATTAAATTTTTGCTGGCCACATATATAAAAGCCAGTATTTTTAAAGTATTTCTCCTTAAATTTCAAAATAAAGATTTTATAGGATTTATATATATTATTTTATGTTTTTAACCTTATTTTTTGTTTAATATTTTTAAAATATATATCAATATTTTTGTTATTATTACTTTTTAAGTAAGTACATATAAATCATTATCACTTTAGTTGATTGTTTATTTTAAAAAAGCTAATTATTCTTCATTTTTTGGTTATTCTTTTATTTTATGGTCTATATTTTAATAAGTTAATTATACTTCATCTATTTGTTATTTGAGTATTTCTAAAATTAAATTAATTACCTAATCTAATATTAATTAACAAGAGTCTTATAATTCCTTTTTTAATTAATAAGTTTCAATAAAAAAGATCTC